TCTTAGCTAATGGACTCACATGCCAATCTTGTCTAGCAACACTCTCACAGACATACTCAGAAGGAATGTTTCACCAGTCATCCAGGCATCCTTCAGTTTGCTCAAATTGATATCCAAAATAGCCATGACAATCAGCAGTTATTTTTTCCTAAAGTCATAGATTTTGTTAGTGTCAGAATCAGACTACACACACTTTCCCACTGGCACTGAATTAATATATTAGTGGAAGATGTACAATACTGATATGTTAATATGAGAATCTACTACTGAAGTTCCTGCAACAAAACAAGAGTCACTGGGATAACAGGATAACTAACTATTGCTAAACTACTCTGATGGAGTTACAATCTGTGCTGCCAGTGTAGCCTACGGAGAAGTCACTCATATATTTAAATACACTAAGGTTTGTTTTGTCTTAGTTATGTTTTACTTTTAAAAGGAATTATGCTCTTATAATATTTTTTTAAAAGATATTTGCAACAGGATGCATGCACCCACTGTTCTACAGGCAGAAATAGTGAGAGGGACAGTGAGAAATTACCTCCTAGGGAGAATGTTCATGCTGCAATTCCTTTTCCTCCATTCTCTCTTAGGATTTTGGGCATGAACACACATGCAAATGATGTGATTTTCAAGCTTCCAGGTCTGGGACTCGAACCATGGTTGACCAAGTGGGAGTCCAGTGCCTTAACCACCATACCAGCTGCTTGACCCCAATTCCTTCATCTTTTTAAAAATGACAAAGCAATTATTAAGATGTAAATTAGGAAGTTTGTAAGAACATGAGATTGGCTCTTGCTGGTGAAACTGGAGTATGCTCTTAAACAGAGGTGGTATTTAAAAAAATACATGGTGGTTAAGGTATTTGACTTCCACATGGTCTACTGCAGTTTGAGTTCCAGATCTGGCGGCTTGCTTTCTCACTTTCCTTCTCTCTCTTTCTCTCTCTCTCTGTCTGTCTCTCCGTAGTGAGCACACTTGCCCTATGACAAACTTTTAAAGCTAATAATAATAACTAAAATTAAATTAAAAAATATATTTTTTTTACTCTTCTACACTTTTTATGCAGTCAGTTCAGACAGTTCAAATATATCTTTTATCAAATCGCAGACCATCCCTTCTACGTCTAGTCAGCTGATCTTTTTAAAATCATTCTTGTATGTTGAAAGTTAAGTTCTCTCTCTGAATCTATTAGGACTAGCATATTAGTTACCTTTATTCTGGTAGTAGGTCTTAGGAAACTGTAGAGTAATATAACAATAACATAGTCTACGCTGTCTAGCACCGGAAATAAGGACATAGTATTTTTTTACAATACTGACTGAAATCTTCAGTTTCACCACATGTTCTTATTTATTTTATGGTACATTATAAAGGGCATTATTATTAACTTCTGCCATAATCCTCTACAATTCTAAATTCATGCATATTTTCTCACCATAACCTCCTATCTGCATATATGTTCATGTTTTATAGAAATTATTTATTTAATTTTATCTATAATTATTATTACTTTTACACTTGCTTTAGGATACGTGCGCTCACCAGAAAGAGGCAGAGAGAGAGGAAGTGAGAAAGCAAGCCAGGTCCAGGACTCAAACCACGGTTGGCCACGTAGGAGTCTAGTCCTTTAACATACCACCTGCTGGCCCCTCTGCTTACATTTTTAAAGTCACTATTTTCACTATGTTCATTTGACAGACTCATCAAAATGTATATTGCCTCAAGTTATCCCCTTGTATGGAGTTCTGCCTCATCTTTACATTATTCTCTGGATTCCCTTTCTCAACATTTCACTTTATACCAGTGCTCTTAAATTTCTTAGTTTTCACGCTGTATGATCATTAATTTCAGCTACAAAACTGTGCCACGACCTGCACGGCTAAATGTTTTTTTTTCTGAGTGGGAGCAGCTGTGGATTTTAAATAGACATAGAAATAATCACACATAGACACACAACTAGAGAAAAGAGAGGATTGGGTGGTCCAGACTCTTCTGATGGAGGCAGACATGGAGCTGTTACCGGGTTTATTCTTTAAAAAGGGGAAATAAGGACAGAAAGGGAAGTGGGGTGCAAAGCCAGTTGTTTCCAAATGTTAATCGACTGAAGATTTGAAACCTCTGGCACCTAGCAGTCCTATACTCCCTTTTTAAAAATCTTCTCAGGCCTTTTCTGGCTAATGCATAGTTTTCTTTAACCAATACTGTCTTGCAATTTCACAGAGGCAGACACACACCTTTTGTTAAAGGCTTTTGCTAGCCTTGCAGTGACAGTCCAAAGAACCATGATGCTGTATGTGTTTAAAGGTCACCATCCTGTTGCTCAGATCTGGCTGGTCCCTATAAAGCTGAATGAACCAAAGACATTCTTCTGAAGCTCTGAGCCCAGCTAGGAAGAACCCCATGATAAACGCCATTCCTTGCAGCTTTTAACAGAGTGACTAGGAGCAAAAGTTTCACGTTTCCATTGGCTCTACTGTTTCCTGGCCCTGCAGTCTCCCATAAGATACTTTTCTAAGCTTCATTTTTGTCTATGTTACTTGGGCTAACGGTAGTACCATCTTCATAGGACTAGTGCAATGGTTAAATGGCACGCTGCACTTAAGCTTTTAACACTGCCTGGAATATAATGAAGCTCAATAACTAACTTATAGCTATTATTATTATTATTATTGTTATAAGTATTTTTTGAGGGACAGGATATAAATAACCAGTTCCTAAGTTCTCTCGTAAGTTTTACAGGTAATGACTGATTTTTTGTTTGTTTGTTTGTTTGTTTGCTGAGCTGCTCCTATCAATAAATGAAATTTTGAGGAGTTGATAAACAAAGCAATATTACCACCATGGAATGTGCTTATGTGCAAGAAGGCTGAATTCTTAAACTAAAATTTGTGTTTATGCCTGCACAAAATAAGATAAATTACAGGGGGGGGGAGTAAAAATGATAACAAACAAACAAAAAAAGACTACAGCTACTTGAGTTATTAAGAAATATACCAAATAAGTTCTGGCAGATGGTGAAGTGACCGACACTGGACTCCCACATGACCAGTTGCTGTTGAGGTCCCAGACGTGGCAGCTTGCTTTCTCATTTTCCTCTCTTTCTTACTCTGTCTCTTCCTGGTCAAATAAAAAAGATAATTTTTAATGTTATAATGATTAATAAAATTAAATAAATAATTATTTTTAAAAGAAATAAGCAAAAGATGTAATCTGTGTCATCAAAAATATGAGTTATGAGGCAGAGAGTAAAAGTCTACAGTATTTGTAGATAAGTGAAATCTAGTAGTTAAAATGTCTACTGTATAAACAACATTGCTCATACAAACTTTATAGTAACTACAAATCAGAAAACTACAGCAGACACACATTTAGAAAGAGAACAGAATAAAAGTTTAATACTGCCAAATCACATGATAAGAGAGGAAGAAAGGAACAAAGTACATACAAAATAACTATCAAACACTTAACAAAGTTATAGCGGTAAGACCTACTTATCAATAATATTCTTCAAAGAAAATGGATTAAACTAGTCAAACAAAATGCATAAAGTGGATGAATTAATAAGAGAGAAAGAGAGAGAGATTCAGATTCAACTACATGCTGTCTACAATAGACTCGCATTAGATTAAGGACACACATAGGATGAAAGTAAAGAGTTGGAGAAGATATTCCATGCAAATAGTAACCGAAAGAGAGGAAGAGTGATTGTGCTTGCATCAGAAAAACAAACTGAAAGACCCCGGACTCAAAAGCCGGTAGACCCTTCAGTCCGAGGAGAGTCACGGTGACCCCAATCAACCACAAGAGTCAGATCTTGCTGCAAAGTACAAGAGGATTTTATTGCTAGTGCGCTAGGACTCCACTCCTGGTCACAATTGACCCCGTGAGAAGTGGAGTCCTGAACAAAAGAAACACATAGATTATATAGGCACAAATTGCAAGGGTGAGGGGAGTGGGGAATGAGGAAAGAAGATATGGGTCTTTTAAGTATGGTTATCTTTTTCTGCTGGCTCTGGCAAGGAGGGTTATTTACACAAGTGGGCTACAAAGGTATTTTGCAGATGTTGCAACCGGGTCAGGTTAGATACTCAGGGTGGTCTGGTACTGATTTCCCCGGGGAGTTGGGGGTGATGGGGTGGTGGGGGGGTTAGACATTTTTGCAAGGATCTGGCTTTCTGCATGGAGCTGAGCTGGTATGCGGGAGGCTGAGCAAGCCTCAGTGGCTTGCATAGCTCAGGGCTGTTTTTCAAGGCGGTGGCGCAAGCTTTTGTACAGAAGCAAGAAAAGCAAGTAGTTAAGTTTAATTTTTACAGAGTATTGTTTGAGCTGATTTTGACTCCTTCAAAACAAATCAAGAACAGTCACAGGAGATGAGAATGGTCACTAAATAATGATAAAAGAGGCAATCCATCAACAGAATATAACAACTGTAAGTATGCATGCATTCATTAAAGCACCTTATTACATAAGTCAAATGTTAATGAACACGAAGGAAGAAATACAGATCAGAACAATAATAGTAGAGATTATCAATACCCCACTTTCAGATAGATTAGACAGACAGAAAATTATTAAGGAAACCAGACTTGAAAAACACTAGACCAAGTGGACCTATTAGACATATACAGAATATCCCTTTCAATGGCATCAGAATAAACATTCTCTAGCACACATGGAACATTCTCCAGGACACACTATTTGTGAGATCGCAAAGTAAGTCTCTACAAATTTAAGAAAGCTGAAATATCACCTAGTACTAATATCATTTTTTACCATAACAATATAAAATTAGACATCATTAATTGAAAGAATCTGGGAAAATTCACAGAAATGTGGAAATTAAACATGTTCCTGAGTAACTAGTGGATCAAAGAAATCGAAAGTGAAATTTTTTGAATCTTGAGACAACAATGGAAACAACATACCATGGAATTTCACAAAAGCAGTCATAAGAGGAAAGTTTATAGTAATAACTGCTTATATTAAAAAAACATTCTGCCCTGTCATTGCTGGGGGCTGTTGTGCAGGTCCAGCTCTCCAATGGTTACAGTGGGCAAGATCAATCCTGAGATTTATGCATGGGGGGCTGTTTCTTCTCAGCAGCTGCCATAGCCTGGTCACTGGTACATGGTTAAAAAAACAATTAAAGGAGTCAGCTGGTGGCATGGTGGTTAAGGCAGGTTGTTCCCACATGGCTAACTTTATGGTTCCAGTCCCAGATTGATGACTTGAAAAAACATACCAGGTGGATGTGTACGCGTGCCCAAAATCCCAGAAGGAGAAATGGAGAAGGGATTGTGGAAAGACCATCCTTTATGGGGGGAGGGTTCCCACTTTCTTTCTCTCTCTGGTGAGCACACATTCCCACTAGCAAAATTTAAAAAAGAAACACAGAATAAAGATCTCAAATAAATAGCTTAACATTACATTTTAAAGAACTAGACAAAGAAGAAAAAATTAAATGCAGACTTAATGGAAGAGAGAAAATAATAAAGATCAGAACAGAAATAAATCAAATAGATAACAATAGGAAAACCATATAAAAAATCAGTAAAACTAGGGCCAGCAAGTGGCATGGTGATTGAGGAGCTGGAGTCTCACATGGCTAACTGCGGTTTGAGACTTGGATGTGGTGGCTTGCTTTCTCACTTCCTCTCTCTCTATCTTTCACTCTCTGGTGAGTGCACATGCCCTACAGCAAATTTATTAAAAATAATAATGATATTAAATAAATAATTATTTTTTTAAAGTTTCTGGGAAAAATCAATAAAATTAAGAAATGGTTCTTTGAAAAAGAAAATAAAAACATTTACAAATTCCTAACTAGATTAAGCAAAATAAGAAGACTCAAATAAAATCAGAAATGAAAGCAGAGATGGGAGAGAGTGATGAGAATGGAGAAGGAAGGCTGTGTGCTGACTCTTGCTCTTAAATCCTGACAGAAAGAAGGGATGGAGAAAGGAGGATTATGGTGTGACTACAGCCCACAGCGAGTGCTCTCTCTCACTCTATCTCTCTCTCTCTCTCTCTCTCTCACACACACACACACACACACACACACACACACACACATCCTCTGGCAATAAAAAGAAAAACAAAACAATAAAAACAGTGCATTTTAGGCTTTCAAAGTCATGAGCCAATATAGAAATAGTGCCTGACTTCATGAGGAGGAGGAAGCAAAGGGAAGGATGAAGAAAAGAGTAAAGGCAACCTCAGAAATAAAGTGGAGAACTTAGCCCTATCTATTGTGTATAATTATAGTTTGGACCAAAATTAACTAGTTTATTAAGACATAGTGACACTCCACTGACATTTGATTGATGTTTTAAATTGAGAGCCTTGAGCATACCACATATTGGGATATAGATTGATAACAGTTTTCTGTCTTCAAGGATTTTACAATACACTTTGGAATAAAGACAAGAAGTAATAAGTACTTGATCAAAGTATTGATAGAAAGTGATAGAATCACATAGGAGGGACACTTAAGTCAGCCTTGAGTGGATCAGAAGATTTTCCTCAAGAGCAGGAAAATTACGATGAACCCTTAGCCTAAATGATGAGTTGGTTATTCACCTGAAGCATAAGTGAGTATTTGCAAGAAGGGGGTGGGGGGCTCTGTCAGAGGTGGAGAGAGCTGTTGCAGGAAGCAACACAGGTGGAAGAAGGCGCAATGGTGGAAGGTAAGAGAGAAGATTTAGATGGATGTCACAATATGCAGGTCTTGTTTAAACTACCAAGGAGTCTGAAATTTGTGAGGACAATGGAGAGGCATTAAAGAGTAAAGCTGAAGAACATAATAAGTATTTTTTTTTCTCTATCTATTGAAAAGATTATGTGTTTTTTGTCCTTTATTTTATTAATGTGGGATAATATATTGATTCTTGTTTATATAGTGAATGAATTTCACACTCCTGGGATAAATAGAACTATATATGATTCATGTATACTATATACTTATCACGGTATATATTTCTTTTACACTCAACATGTTCCCATATCACAATCCCCACCCCCAACCCTTACCAGCCAGCCAGGATCATGGATGAATACAGCATGTGCAGGTTGGCCAGGGAACCAAATCCACAATCTTCCATTAAGATCCAGCAACACTTGTACAGTGTGTTACTGCTGTACCACCAAGCCAGCCCAATGTTGTCAGTTTTGCTTTATATATTCTGGGGTGGTGTTGTTAGGTGCATACATGTCTATCTCTGTTAGATCTTCTTGATGAGATGACCTTTTTTCATTGTAAAATGCCTTTGTTTGTGACTACTAACGATTATGTATTCATTCTGTTTTGTCTATCATTACAGCCACTCCAGCTCTCTTTAGTTATGGTTTGCATTGTTTATCCTTTCCTCTTCTTTAATTTTCTGTGTCTTTGCATCTAACATGTTCCTGTAGGTAGCATATAGTTAGATCATGTTTATTTTATTATTATTATTTTTTGAATTTGCTGTAGAGCACATCCACAACAGAGAGAAAGTGAGAAAGCAAGTTGGTCTGGGACTCAAACCACAGTCAGCCATGTGGAAGTCCAGCACCTTAACCGTCATACCACCTGCTGGCCCGTGGATCATGCTCTTTTATTTAATCCACTCTGCTGATCTGTATCTTTTGACTGACATGTTAAATCCATTTATATTTAATGAAATTATAGCCTGAATCACTGTATACATGTTTATAGTGAATACATGGTTTGCTGAATATTTTAAGCCCATTGTTGACATCTACTGTGCAGGAAAAATAAAAATAAAAAAAGACACCTTTTGAAATATTACTGCTCGTTGACAATACCCCTGAACACCCAAAAACTCTGATAGAGAAGTACAAGATTGAGATTGTTTTTAAGACTACTAACACAACATGCATCTTGCAACCCACGGATCATGAAGTAATTCTGATTTTCAAGTTTTATTATTTAAGAAATACATTTTGTAAGGCTATAGCCTTCATAAATAGTGATTCCTCTAGTTGACCTTGGAAAAGTAAATTGAAAATCTTTTGGAAAGAATTCATTAGTCTAGACTCCATTAAAAAGATTTTTGGGGGAACCAGCAGTTAGCATAATGGTTATTTCGCTGGACTCCCACATAGTCGACCGCGGTTCGCGTCCTGGACCCGGTGGCTTAAAACTCACGCCGGGCGCGTGTGCATGCGTGCCCAAGATCCCAAGAAGAGAATGGAGGAGAAGGGATTGCAGCGTGACCATCCCCCCTGGGGGGTGATTTCTCGCTTTCTGTCTCTCTGTCTCTCTCTGTCTGTCTGGCAAGCGCACGCGCCCTATAGCAAAAACCTCTCAAAAAAAAAAAAAAAAAGATTTTTGGGACTGGGATCAGCAGTTGGCGTAATGGCTATGTTGCTGGAGTATCATGTAGCTGATGGTGGTTCAAGTCTTGGACCCAGTGGCTTAAACTCACACCAGGTGCATGTGCGTGTGTGCCCAAGATTCTGAGAGGAGAATGGAGGAGAAGGGATTATGATGTGCTCATCTCCCCTAGAGTGTGATTTCTCGCTTTCTGTCTCTCTCTTTCTGGCAAGTGCATGTGCCCTGTAGCAAAAATCTCTCAAAAAAAATTTTAGGGGGGCCAGTAGATGGCATCACAGTTATGTTGCTGGACTCCCACATGGTCAACTACAGTTTAAGACCTGGACACGGTGGTTTGAAATTCACACCAGATGTGTGTGTGTACATGCCCAAGATCCTAGAAGGAGAATGAAGGAGAAGATATTTCTGTGTGACCATGCCCCAGGGTAACTTCTCACTTTCACTCTCACTATCTCTCTCTCTCTGTCTCCAGTGAGCGCACATGGCTTAAGGCAAAATCATCTAAAAAAAGAAGAAAAAGAACATTTGTGATTCATGGGAAAAAGCCAAATTATCTACATTAACAGCAGTTTGGAAGAAGTTAATTCCAACCCTCATGGATGACTTTGAGAGATTCAATACTTAAGCGAGGACATAGCTACAGATGTGAAAGAAATGGCAAGAGAACTACAGTTAGAAGTGGATCTTGAAGATGTGATTGAATTGCTGCAATCTTATAATGAAACTTTAATGGAATACCAGCAGGTAGCATAGTGGTAAGGGTGCTGGACTCACACATGGTGAACTGCTGTTCGAGTCCTGGACCTGGCAGCTTGGTTTCTTACTTTCTCTCTCTTGCTCTCACTCTGTCCCTCTCTGGTTAAGCTAAAATGAATAAATAAATAGAGTTAAATAAAATAATTCATCAGGAAAAAAAACCCTTTAATGGACTTAATTCCTGGGGTGAGATAGTTTTGAATGCAATGCTCACTGTTGCTGAATAGGTGATCACAACGTGCATTGTGCTTCTTTCTTTGAGAATATTTGAATCTTGCCTCAATGCTTATAACAGATCATAAACACAGATTTTGATAGCAAAGCAACCTTAGTCGTGAGCTCTTGCCAGGAGTCATTGACTTCATCCTCTAGGGTTAGACTGTTAGGGTGGTATAAAAAAATGATGAGGTCTGCAAAATCTTTCTTTCTAAGAAATTTAGTAGTTTTGTAGAGATGGTTGTATTAGATATTCTCCATCATTTCATAATATACTTGTGGACTAAAAGATATAAGTGCAGTATAAAATCAGCCAAATATGTTAAACTAGCAAATCTGCCTTTATTGTGTTTTTAGCCTGAAGAGAAAGGACTTTAAAATGATTTTTTAAGAAGGACATTTAGAAGAAAAATAGGGAGGCATAGCATTAATGGCACAAAGAAATGTGGTATTATCTGTTGAAGATATTTTATAATTTTATCAGGTGTACTAGGGAGAAACGTTTACCTGTTGAAATATCCATTTTGTAAGCCAAATAATAATGTGATTGAATGTATAAAAGAAAATGAAATAAATAAATAAATAAAGTGAAAAAAAGAAGAAAAAAATGTGAAAAAAAAGTTTAGCATGGAAGGGAGGGAGGGGAAAGGGGAAGGAAAAGAAAAGTAAAAGTATATTTAATTGATAGAAATAAGACGCTATTTGCTGATCATAATGTATATAGCAATACCTCTGTCTTGACTGATATGCACAGTATGCATGCTGGAAAAAGAAATGTTGTCCACTGTAAAGATATATGTGATTAAATGTAAATAAATTTTTAAAAATTAAAAAAATAAAGAAAGCATTTGGCTGGTAGGATGGTGGGGTTATCAGGTGGTATGGTGGATAAAGGCACTGGATTCCCACCTTGCTGACCACAGTTCAAGTCTCGGTCCTGTCCAGGAACTCAATAGAGTGAGTCTCAAGGCATGGGGTGGGACAAGTTAAGGCTGGAGGTCCTGCTTCTCCCTTCCTGACTGCTTCCACTTCCTAAGCTTCCCCTTTGGACTCTCCACTTGGCTACATTCTCAGATACTGGTACCATGAGGTTTAAAATTGCATTCTCCAGCTAGAGCTTTTGTATAATCAATGAGGCAGATGCTTTGTAAAACCTGCAAACTGGGCTCTGCCCTCCTGGTAGCACTCAGCCTCTATTTACAAGACCTGTGAGAGCCTGGGTCCTCTTCTCAGTCTAGGATTTCTCTCAGAACAGAAAAGATATAGAAAAGCTCTTACGTAACTCAGAAAAGTGTTAAAACAAATTAACAAATTCACCTTAACCTTTGATTTACCTTAAAAGGCATCTAAGAGTCACCCGTGGTAATCCTGAAGGCTGAGAACTTCCCCCAAGGGCAGAATGTGGAAACAGCCCAGGTCAGAGCCTCTGCCTCAGAAGAGGCTGTTTCCAATACGGGCAGCCCAGGGACTGGACAAGGCCCATGACTGGCATCCTCATATTCCCAACTGGGGCCTGTCTCCGGAGTAGTTGGTCCCTAGAGATGGGAATGCCCTGAGCTCTGATGGGAGCTCAGGACTTCTAAAGTCCATGTTGGCCTCTGAAACTGAGGATTAATGGGGCCTGAGACCCTAATGGCTCCCCTTACACATCTAACAAGGTAACCCTTAAAGACTAATAAAAATTAAGGCAAAATAGAATTTTATGACTTTTGAGTGAAACGTTACTGATGTGTGTGTGTGTGTGTGTGTGTGTGTGTGTGTGAGTGTGCGTTTTACTATGCTTTCTTTTCCCAATTTAAGCATTTTATTTTCTCTTGAGTTGTTGGTAGGTTCAGCAATTTGTTAAAATTTTTTCTGTTTGTTTCTTTAAGTGGAAATATAAATGTTTCTTTTTTCCTGACTCCTCTGGAACTGGAAAATATTTGGGAGTATTCTTATTTTGTGGCAGAAGGGTTATTTGCATAAGTTCAATAATGCTTGTTGCAGAAACTGGAAGTACTCATTATTGGACAGGGCTTTGACTGGGGTGTCATATCAAAGATCAATCAGAAAGCTATGCAACAAAGACGGCTCTCAAGTAAGCCAACAGAAGCCCTTAGGAAGATGCCCTGGCACTATAAATAGTTCTGCCTGGCAGAGACAATTAGAGAACTCGATAAAAGTATTTATAACATAAAATAATCTGGACTTTTCCAGCCCAGCATTGTAATCAGTAGAGATTAAAAAAGAATCATCACAACAGAGGATTACCCTGAGAAGGACTTTGAAGGAAGAAAAAGAGACTGATCTTTGCTAGCAGATGGCATATCACAGAGGTTTTCGCTATAGGGCGCGTGCGCTTGCCAGACAGACAGAGACAGAGCGACAGAAAGCGAGAAATCACCTCCCAGGGAGGTGGACCACGCCGCAATCCCTTCTCCTCCATTCTCCTCTTGGGATCTTGGGCACACGTGCACACGCGCCTGGCGTGAGTTCAAGCCACCGGGTCTGGGACGTGAACCGCAGTCAACTATGTGGGAGTCCAGCGGCATAGCCATTACATTAACTCCTGGTCCCTTGAACATTATCTTTAAAATTCAGTATTTTGAAGGTTGAAAGTTGTTTATTAACTGTTAAGAGCTATGGAGTATGAGAAAAATATTTTTTGATATGTAAAGTAAATGTGGAAAAATGTAAAAATAAATAAATAAGAAAAAAATTTTGGACACACACACACACACACA